CATGATAGGTAGACATTACGTCCAGTTGCGATCAGCTAGTCACTAACAGGATTTCCCAGTGATGTCCCATTGCCGCTTTTTTGGCCTTTGTTCAAAATCTGTATCGTTTCAGCAATCGTGATTTGCGTTCTCAAAATAATCCGGGACTTGAAAAGATAGCAATATAACACTTATTCATTTCTTGGTCAAACATTCGAATTGTACAAAAGAGGTGGCTATCAAATCTGGAATGTCCGAAAGCCCATAGTCAGGTCATTAATCTGGCGCATCCTCGTTTGATTATATGGATTCAGAATTGGGTCGAGCGGGCCCTCGTCGAGCGGCTCCAACTCATTATTCGGTTTAGATGTTCCGTCATTTGTGGTATGATTCCTTGGGGGAACGTCGTAGAGAACAAGTGCCAGATATCTCGCCAATTGCTGAGTGCATTTTGTATCGAAGCTCGGAGTTGGAAGCTGCTCACCGCGCTGCGGAATTGAAAGATTTGTGAATGAATTGCTAGTTTTTATAGTATTAATACAGTTGAATCGTGAAGGCTTGGATTGTAGCTTACCTGATGTTAATGCAAATAAATTCAATGGACCCAGGGTAGTGAGGAGGTGATAATCGTCTTTACATAGCGACTCGAACGACCCACGGAAGGAGATCGTCCAGTAGAGACTTCTTGCGGGTAGGGAAAGTTGGAGTTGTTAGTGGCATTGGTTAGTGGGGGCCCACGGCATCATTGTATAGGATGTCGATGACGGTAGGCTTGTAAATTGAGGATTCACCTGTTGATCTTTCGTGATATCCTTTGTGGGGCTATGGTGAATTGGTCGTGATGAAGACCCTGCGTCTGTGGAATACCAACAATCAGCACCCCTTTTGGCGCAGCTGTGACATGGTCGATGGGAGCTACAGGCCTTTTTCTGGCGAACGCAACGATCGCAAGCCCGTCTTCGAGTACTTCCTCTCTATGTGCCGCCATCACAGGTCCTCATATGTCGCTTCAAAACATCAGCTCGCTGGAAAGCCCCATCGCACGGATTGCATTGGTATGGCCGCTGTGATGTATGGGAGCTGATATGGCGAAACAGGTGTTCACGTCGCTTATACCGCTTGGGGCATAACGAGCATTCGTATTTCGGGGAGGTTTCAGCTGTTAAAGAATTAGACATTTTTTGGACAGAAATTATTTCCAGTCCGAGGAGTCCGGGGAAGTGTTCGCGGGGAGAGCAGTGGGGCGAATGTTTAAGTTTTGGCACGGATGCGTTGATCGGTAAATGCGTCGGTCTATGATTCTTCAATTTCCTTTTCACATATGCCGATCACCTGGTTTATTGCCTTGTGTGATACATTATGCGCATCCTATAATTTCTTACTGGGACCCCAAAAGAAAGGAAAAAGAATACTAGAATATCTTCCAAGGTCCTAAGTTGTAAACATGAATAATTCTACCGCCTATCGCATCGTCTTGAAAGCGATTACTACTTTCTCCTATTGTTTGCCTTTTTTTAGGTTCTTCTATACCTGAAGTAAAGACTATTTACTTTTGATAACACGGTAGTTGACGTGTGGCGCAGGGATCCATATAGCCTTGAAAGTAAGTCAATTTTCGTGTTATCGATGTTGGGCGACGAGCAACGTTATTATTACTGAATTAGGCTTATACTCTGATCTCATGGCAGTCATCCGAGATTGATCGACCAATAATATGTCCTTCATTATCCCCTGCATACATATCCGTATGTTGTAGCTAGACCAAGGGCAGTGATGATCACGGAGTATCCTCTCCTTGCTATATAACAGATGGGGATTACCAGTATGAACCCCTTCTCGATGAACTCATTTCAATAATCCATAGTTTCTATGGCCTATATCCTAGCATATTTCTCATTTTCCTTCAAGCAAAAAGGATATACTGTCTACCTCACGCAATGGGATGGTCCTTCCTTATCCACTCTAGCGTCAAGATAGTAAGCAAAAAGCAAACACGGAGATGATATCAAATTTGCAACCCACACGACCATCCCAAGGCCATGCTACATAATAGCCCCAAAATCAGGCGTTGGGTGATATTTCAAATAGGCTGTCGGGTCCCTAGACCATGATCGACACGGGTCGGCCCTTAGACTTAAAACGCTCGGTGTTGAGTTTTCCAACCCGGTAGTAGGCTCTATAAAAAAAAAAAAAGGTTCAAATCCCGGCCATGCACAGGTGGATGTTGTGTCTGTCACCCCTGAAACTTTGCATCAGGCACGACATGACTGACGGTTAAGCCATTACAACGCCATTGTGATATTGGAGTTGTAGTATCAGCCCCACACATACAAGTATCGTGACATTTATGCGGTTCATGCGGATATCTAATAATCATCATCAGGCTTTTGAAGAGTCCAGGCCTATTATAATTGTGACTAGGACTCCATAGGCGCGTGGAGCACGCCGATCATTGAGATGTGTACCGAATGTTGAGCTGATCGGCAGATGCAAGTGATTCGGCGTTTGCGCCCTCGGCGATCCCACACCATGTGTGTTGATCCTTTTCATTTCCCTTGGACCTGCAGGGATCACGAGTGCTACCGTGGGATCGGGAACCATGAGGCAATGGAAAAAAACAAATATCCTTATGTCGTCACTGGCTCATGCCTTGGAAGCAAGGCATGAGGCTGGCACCTAGGACATTGGGGCCTGATTAGCTAGTAACTGCCTAATAGTGGAGAACGAGGTGCCTGTGAAAAAACGTGCTTGTTTGAGCAACCCCGACGGAGCGTTTAGAATTATACAACTTGGAAATGTTCTCAAACGGGGTTGAAAAAAAAAAGGTGGATTGTAATTGGTCCTTTGATATCTGTAGGCAAATCTGCCCTAATATACATCACTGATATAAAAATATGTGCGACAAAATTTAGTAACAAGAATAAACAATATATAACCCCCAATTAGGCTTGCCAATATATGCCACAGAACTCCTCGCTATAAAACGTCGCTTGCCCAAAAACAGGTGGGGGAAAAAAAGATACGCCTGTAAAGATGAAAACTCAGATCAGACAAAAGAAAAAGATGGACGCCGAGTCGTGCTTGAAAATGAACAGCCTCGTAAGAGGATAATATGATGTTGAGAGGTGAGTCGCTGGTCGTCTGCGTGTTGTTCGAGGAAATCGCTAAGGGAAAAAAGACTGGAGATAAGCCGCAATTTATGCAGTTCGTGCAGTCGCTCGAGATCCTCGGCGATGTTTTAAATCTTCTCGGCTGAGGAGTCGGCGTAGTTTAGACACAAATCGGCATTGCCGACCATCTAGGATAATGTAAGAATTAAATGCAACTGAAACGGAAATATTAAACTCACCACTGACACGACGCCTAGACATGATGGGATCATCGATAGGTTGTGTTGTATAGGCCGCCGCCCAATATCCCGTGTCACGGTAACCGGTGAAGGTGCAGTTGCTGGGGTTGTACTGTGGCTGCAGGGCCGCGACATGCGGGTAGAGTGTTGCCAACGGCGAGAGAAGCTCATCTGGCGGAGGTGACCGTCTGCTGTCAATGCTCCCCCGAGACTAGAAAAATACAAGTTAGATGGATTAACCAAAGTAAATGGATGTTTACTCACGTAGAGCTCATAGTTTGTCTTGTAACTCATGGTGTGAAGTATTGTATATCACAATGTCTCACGATTCACGAGTATGCAGTGTTGAGATGCAGGTTCCAGAAGCGAACCCGGCTACATTTAAATGAATGAAAATGCTCAGCCGCAGTAATTTGGAAGCGGGGAGATCAGACGTCAAAATCCACATGTCACCTAGTTTCTTTTTTTTTTTTTTTTCATAGATAGAATTTTGTTATAACCGGGAAGTCGGGTTCTCACGCACTCCACGAACGTGGATCGATCTTTGTGATTGGACAACGAGGGCGTCTGAGGGTCAAAGCCGATCGCTCGGAGTCCCCGATGTGGGCAAGCCTCTCGATACGAGAACTTGGTCAGATTATCCCCTTCTCCTTGCATTCTTTTGCCTTTCTGCCCACGTTTCAGTTCTTGGTTTTGTTTGATGCTGGCTTTTTTTTTTCTTCTTCTTTTTCTTTTTTTCTTTTTTCTTTTTTTCTTTTATTTTCTTGGGGAAAAAAAAACGTGTGCTAGGGACGGACAGGAGAAGAACAGATTCCAAATGTGATATGAGATCCACCCCCGAACAGATCCGGGCTCGGGGCTAAGAACCTTGGAAACTATCAAGATGTTTAATAATATTGGGGACAAGTGGGCCTTGGAAGTGTCAAACATGTTGCACAGGTCACTAAGAAGCCAGAAATGGGAAAACATGAGATCTCTGATCTTCCGCTAGTAGTAAATCTTCCAAATCATTTCAGGGTAATCTAGGGCGAGATAGTCCAAGAGACTAGCCCCAAAACTATTGAACTATTGATACACTACAGAGTACCAGATCTGGATCTACCATGGGGGTTGCCTGATAGAGACTAGTGGATAATTCCATTGTCTATGCACAGCCACACACCCCTTACTATTTAGGGATAAGCGCACAAGCCACCTTCTCGGTCTCACCGTGGCTCACCGTGGCTCACCGTGGCTAGTGACCACATCTGTGGCTCAAGCTTGATTTTGTTAGCTTTCCAGATCCACCTGCCTTCACCTCGGAAAGCCGAACTAGTCCGCCCTTGATCTTCAGTTATCGATTTTGCACATTGATGGCTCGGTCTTTCCGGTCCGCGCTTAGGCGCGAACCTATAAGGCATTCGCCTCCCCCAGAATCATGGGCTCTATTCCAACACAAGTCTAAATCCACCAATCCACCTCTAGTTTGACATCTTCTTCCTTGGCGCACATTACCAACACATGTCAACTGTCGAACATGTCCCTGAGAATGCAAGGTTCTGGAAGAGAGTGCTGGGAAAACTCTCAGCATATGGACATGCGCGATCCTTGTTTTCGCGAACAACACGCTCAAAGTGAGTTAACTTCCTGTTCCTTCTACCCCTCCGGTCTCGCCTAGTGTACCGGTTGCACAATGACCACAATTCTGAGACCTTTTGCCCTTGTTCCAGGATCCGTCGAACGAGACGCTGAACGCATACCTGATAGGCGCGAGCGCCCTCGTGAAGAGGGGATCAACCCAGAGGCCCATTTGGTGTTGAATGACGAGTTTGGTCGCGTTGACCCCACCGGCTGGTTCCCACACTATAAGAATTGTGTTCAGCACTTCGTCGACTGTAGCCAGCACACTCCCCAAGTGCAGGCCATTGCCGCGTTCATCAACATGCGACTACCCTGCCAACAACCTTCAGAGTCTAGCGCAGTGTCTCCATCAACGCCATCCCCCTTTATCTCCCTGCGGCCGTATGTCAGACGTTTGATTGTCACCGCGCAGGATTCACCGGCTGTTATGCAAGGCTTCTTCGGTGGTGACTGGGAGGCTGGCGTGGGCTGTATCTACAAACAAGAGCGGGTAAACTATCTGTTCACGGCTAAGAGCAGCGGTTGGGCCTCTACAAAGGCTGCCTACGACATTTCTCCAGCTGAAGAGACCCCCTTCTTGAGGCCCCTGCGTGACCCCTCGGAGGACGAGATTCGAGCAGCCGAGGCACGGTGGAGTGAATGGCTGGCAATGGAGGATTGGATGATCGGAGCGCGCAGTCCCTGGTAGGATACCGCGATGATGAGGCACGAATTTTTCTTTTTTTTTTCCCTCTTCGTTTTCTCCTTTGTTTCCCGGTCCCAAAAATCTATAGTACTGGTGATGTCATATCACAGTGGAGTATAATGGCAAGGCGGTCTTTTGTTTTTTATTGTCCTTACATCGGAAAAGGGTTTCCCCCTAGAAATGCAACATGATGTGAAAAAGAACTTAAAACCCAAACTCGTTTAGCACGCGACGGAGATCGCCCGCGGGTCCCGCGTCAGAATCGATAGTGCCGCACCGCCACACAAATATTACAAATACTTAAGCGACTCGGAGATTCGATGATTGGTACGGAGCCCGGAGTACTCCGTGTGCTTTCAAATCGAATATCTTTCTAAGGCTGTTAACTAACCAGACTTAGCTAGGCACAATTAGCCATGAGGTCCCACAACTCTTTGACTCACGGCCCAAGTGTCAACCTGTCACTTTATGAATAAATTGAAGATCAATAGTCTCTGTGGTTTTACGATCCTTTTCTTACCCCGTGTAGAAACACCCCTGAGTCAGGTACCCGGGAATCCGGCACGTCCACGATCGGAATGGCATCGATATGCATCTACGAGCACGATGCAGCCACAATAATGCCGGCACTCATATCTGAACTACCGCATTCCACTACCCTGCTTCGTCGAATCCAACATGGAATCGTGTATCCAGTTCAAACTGCCCATATACTGGCAACTTTCCCGTCCGGCTCAACCCCTAAACCTGGACAACCATGGCTGGCTGCGCGGGTGGATCTCTTTGCCGGCCGCACAACACAAATACTCATCTATTCCAGCCTCGAAGCGGAGCACACGTCAATTCCGCCGATCGCTCTCAGCGATAGTCCCAAAGCCACAACATCGGAGATATTAAATGTGGACTCGGCATCCAATAATAACAAAAACAATGCCAATGATAATAATCATGCTGACATCGACAACGTAACCAATCCCATTGTTTCCACATTTTCCGCCAACCCAGCCGTCCTAGCCCTGGTCCGCGCGCAGCTATTGGCTTTGCTGTCATATGTCAAGACTTATCTGCTGCCAGCTTACCTGTCATATTTGACGAAGTCAGCACAAACCACATCTGTGGAGGCCGGAACTACCCCGATCAACACCAATCCCACTGCCAATAGTACTGTTCCCCTGATCCCCGCGCCCGATCCACGGGCCTTCCTTATCGGCAGCCTTCATACAGGTCTCTTCTCTCTCCTGCAGCGATCTGGCTCTTACACGCTATCTGACCCGATCCCCAATATCCGGGTCCATCGCTTCGATGATCCACCTTATTACAAGTACTTCTTCCGGAGATCTGAGTTCAGCCCCGATGCAGAAACTGGAAAGTCTACAGATCTGCCGTTCGCGGATCTGGCCCTCCCGTCCGGATATAGGTTCCATGACAGAGAGGGGAGGGAGGGTGTTATGAGTAAGCACCTGGATCTTGTGCAGAGTCGAACACATATCCCCCGGCCAAGGGCGCAGCTATCTAAAATGCCTGGTATGGCAGTCTACCTTGATTCCGGGTCTAGTGATCTCGAGGAAATGCCTATTGCATGGGGATTCTTGGGTGTGGATGGAGCACTAGCGACGTTGCATGTTGAGCCAGAGCATCGGGGTCGCGGGCTTGCCGTTCCATTGTCTAAGGCTGTCATGCGTCGTGGGATGTCAGTAGATGGTGTTTTTGGGGCTGGGGGTGTCAACTCTGAGGATATTCAGACTCCAAAGCGTGTCGGGGCTTGGGCTCATACTGAGGTGGCTGGGTATAATAAGGCGAGTCGGAGGGTCATGGAAAAGATTGGGGGTCAAGTCCTGACGACTGTCACCTGGACTGTCATTGAGCTGTGTGACTAAAGGTTCTCATCTCCTTGGCTTTCTATATGAACACACTCGTACTTGAGTATATTTACGCTTATAGCAAATATGTCTAACACATTTTACTATACATGACAGGTTCGGGAGTAGATTATGTTTTAATTTTTGATATCTATCTATGTCTAAATTGACTCTCCCCAATACTAGGTAGAGTCCATGCGGGTTTGAAAACCCCTAAGAAAATTTCCCGAAGAAAGGACACTGAGTCACCGGGCTCGTTGAAAGCCTCAAATGTCCCTTACACTTTTGTGATCGCATTTTCTTCAAAGTCAGTCGAGGGTTGTGGGCTCAGGCTCTCATTGACTTTGATGCTTCGCAGATGCTCTTCTGCCAATGCTGCGTATTTACAACGCGCTCTGATCTTCGAGCCGTATAAATAGAACAAAACGGGGAATGGAAGACAGGCGAGTGCAATAAACCCAGGAACAGCCACGCCCCAGTGGATCCCAATATCCTGTGATCATGTTAGCAGATGAGATCACCAAAAGAGCCATGTTTTTACACGTACATTGAACATGTATGTGGTGAAGAGAGGGAAGATACAAGCAAAAATGGACCGCATTACAGAGTTGGCAGCAAGTACTGAGGCGGCGAATATCACGTACGCATCAATGCTAGAGATAGCAAGTCAGCCAGTTACCAGGTGTAAGGAACAGGGAGTTATTACAGATAATTGGCGCAGCATATAAACACCATGACGAATCCTGCACCAAAGGGAGCTCCAGCCATGACTGGAACCACCCAGTGGATATGGGGAGAGTCGGTGGCGGCGAACCAGGCCAGCCCGACAACAATAGAGATGCCGCCCGCGATAACTGCTGGTAAACGACATTCTGGAGGGGCAAATCCGTCGGTTGCGCGGTAGATACGAACGTATCGTTTGTTGTCCCAGCAGATAATGAGGATTCCGACTATTAGCCCTACCAAGACGCCTGTAAACCCGAGGCCTCCAACACCGGCATTCCAACCACGCTTTTCCTGAAACACGATCGGGAATGCAGCAAAGCACATGTACAATGTGCCGTAGATAGCTGACATGTAAAGCTTCATGGGCACGTTAGTTGCCATTAAAAATCTTGAGCGGGAGAAAGGTACTAACTGTCAGACTAAAAACAATAGGCTCACGAAATAGTAATACCCATGGTCGAAGCAGCGCGTGCTTGACCAATTCCTTGAAAACGACAGGGTTCTTCGCATCTTCGGCGGTCAGATACACCTGTGAGGTGGCTTGCGACAAACGCTCAGCGCGTGCTCTTAACAATGCTGGGGCATATGTTTCAGGCATGAAGATGAATGCCGTCAATGTCAACAACGCCCCGAATATAGCCAAAAGACCCATCACCCAGCGCCAACCGGCTGCTTCGCCTAGGAAACCACCAATGATGGGACCGAGAGCGGGTCCAATGAATGGCGCAAGACAGAAGACGCCAATTCCAAGGCCTCTGAGCTCCGCTTTGAACATATCTGCAATTTGACCTCCGGGGATACATAAGGCGCTAGATCCAAAAAGACCACTGAAGAACCGGAGGATAATGAGAGTCCAAACATTTTGTGAGCCACAGCAACCAGCAGTAAAAATCGTGTATCCGGTATAAGAAAGGAGGAATATATTGCGGCGACCAACGGACTCGGATATGGGAGCCCACAGCAACGGTCCCACGGCATATCAGAGAACCATGAGCGAAAGACCCAAGGTAATCACCTCATGGCTGCATTTGAATTCAGCGAGCAGGGAACCAACGGTGCCCGAATATGCAGATGATGCAAGGGCAACACAAAGTGTCATGGTTGCTAACAATGCCGTGGTGCTCCATCGTAGGGACTCGCTGTAATTCTTGGGGTTTTCGAGGTCGTTCTCGAGCCACTCCACAATGTACGGGTCGTCTGACGTGCCGCTACCGCGATAAGGAAAGTCAATGATTGTTTGAAAATCTGTCACGTTGAGTCGCCATGGTCGTCTCTTCAAAATGTATTCACGGGAGTCTTTCGGGCTGTGTGGTGTGCTGCTGACTGGATTGAAGCCCATGTTGGAGCTGGAGTTTGTAATATATATTGCGCTTGAGCTTTGACTAGAAAGGGTCAAGGCAATATAAATAGAGAGACATGGTGTAATTGCTACCGTAAAAATCTGATTTACTGTCGGTCATTTTGATGTTAATTATGCATTCTCCGAGAACAATATGCGATATCAGAGTTCCAGAAGTCGTGATACTTCACCAAAATAGAGTTCGGAGGTTAAACTGTCACCGAAGCCGAAGAAAGTGGACCCACATGTGACCAAAGCTTCGGAACCGGCGCCTCTAAGTCTCCCTGGCCGAGTTGAAGGTAACAACCTCGTGCTCTTTTCATTGCTCCTAGCCTAGTATACGTATCGAGGGCTCTCGATCTATATTTTGTTCATGGAAAAGGGATGCTTACCGCGGCGTGCCTGCTCTGAATGCAAGGCAAAAAAACTCCGCTGCGTTCCCAGTCGCGAGGTGCCCAGTGTCTGCCATAGGTTTGACTCTTCCTATCTTAGCTTATTTTCTTAGTGTATTAACTTCAAATTTAAAACCAAAAAGATGTCATCAACATGAAAAGGACTGTACTTTCCCTGAAATACGCCCTCGGAAGCGACAGAGTCGATGTATGCCTATTTCGCAAGCCTTTATAGATGAAACCCTAAGCTCACTCAATAACAGTGCATAATCGGATGTCACATTTGGAAGAGATGATGGCTACTCTAGTGGACCGTCTTCCTGACCGACCGCAACATCGAATTATGCCAGATATAACACCTGCATCATTTACTGAAGCGCTAGGGCCCAGCGAACCAATCCCCACAAATCAGGATCCTTTAACTTGTGGCCTTGTCACATTTTCCGAGGCAGAAACCTTGTGTCAGAGTTATCGAAGGATGTCAAACAAGCACTTTCCCTGCGTTATCGTCCCTGAGAGGCTTGGAGTGCTGGAATTGCAGCAGGAACGGCCAATGCTTTTGCAAGCCATGCTGGTTATAGCATCATGGCAAAACAAGCCCCAACAGATTGTTCTGGAGAGGTTTTATGTGAAGGAACTAGGGCTGAGGTTCTTTAATGGCGAGCGTAGCTTGGACATACTCCAGGGGTTGTTGGTATATCTTGCATGGTGCTTGATCCCTTTCCTAAAAAAAGTCGTTTGCAATCAGGCTAATCACATATCCAGGTACCATTTCAACGTACCTGAGTCTGGGCAATACCATGCATATCGGTTGGCTTCATTGTGTGTGACAATGATCGTAGATCTTGGGTTCAACAAGAAGCCCCCACAAGGAACAACACAGCACGACCTCATCCTCAATTCTCAACCGACGCCGGAACATATAACAACTCGCAAATTTGAATTTTGGAGTCATGAGGCGAGACGGGCCCTGATTGGTGCCTACATCCAGTCAACACTGTATGTATCACAGGTCCGCAATAATTAGGGCTGTATCTACTGACACAGAACTAGGTGTGCACTCATGTGCCGAAAACAATCACCAATTGCGTATTCCACGTATATGGAGCAATGTGCATTCTCCCTCCAAGAGGATAGCGAGGTGGACACCGACAAGACGCTGATACACTTTATTAAGCTGCTGCGAATTATGAATGAAGTCTACAGCGTTTTCGAATATGGTGACCCTGACCATAGTCTTTCTATGGGTGATTATAAGGTTCAAATGGTTGTAAAAGCTCTCGAAGGGCAACTCCATTCGTGGCGGGAAAGCCTGCCACTTGAACTATCCCAACATGGTGGGTCTTCCTTGCCGTAATAGTTGAGAAAAGTGGTCAAAAGAAGCTGACTTGGAGTTATAAGCTCAACTTAACACATGGGGTGCCTTGGCAGGGGCATACGCCCATGAAATTGGGCTTCATGGAAATCTTCGGAGCCACCCCTTTTCTGCGATCCGGGTGAGCATCATGTTCGATTGTCTAACACATGTGGAGGACTACATGAAACGTGCCTTGGAGATCTCAGCGGATGACATGGAAACATGGACTGCTTTTGACTGGCGACAGCTTACCTATACGATCATGCTGGCAAGCAAAATTTCGGTATCAATCGATGTGATTGCCTCCGATAAAGAATCCACAGCCCGCATTGCTCAGTTGGATTCATACCTCGGGGTGGTATATACACGAACCCAGAGACTGTTCTCGATGACCAGCACACCGCATGGTCAGACTCATTACTTCCATAGGTTATTGAATCAGTGGAAAGGTATCCGGAGCTGGTACCAGACAGTAATCCAGAAGAGAACCACCACCCACTTCAACGAGCAATCCAGCCGATTTATCGGCGATCCATCGGTCCGAACCTCGCACGATACTTCCAACCAAATCCAAGTGACTCCATTTCGACCCTCGCAGACTTTGGATTCTTGGCCTGATGATAACTTTGGATTATTACCGATATCGACCGCTGACTTCATCATGCTTGAATCTCTCGAATACCCATAGCGCTTGCGACAGTTCTCCAGTCGGATAACCGATGTACTGAGGGCCCTCCAATCGGCTTCGGGCCTTCTGAGCTAGTCAAGGAGGGATTACTACGAATTAGGGAGGAATAATTAAGCTATTAATCATTTCTAGCGGCTAGTACATTGTGGAATTTGATATGAGACAAATCGTGGAGGAAGGTCGCCAGGACAAAGAGTATATTATTTTAATTCCATGTCATAAGAATGTGGCTGGGGGAAATGTCAAACAGTTGACTCATAAACCCTGTCCCCAGATATTACCAAATTGGGTTTAGCGGGTGATCGGTTGCCGGTGATTCCACGAGATGCAGGGGGAACTTCAACTTGTAATTTCTCTATTTTCTCTTATTTCCAAGCTATTGACCAATCTTCCATCTTTCAAAATGAGTAACCCTAAAGGCGTCGCTGAGAACATGCTCTGGGGAGGCCGCTTCACCCGTGAGTTCCAAACCCCCTCCATCCCACCAAAAAACCCACTGACTCATACAAAAAAAAACTCCAGAGGGCCTTGACCCCCTTATGGTGCAGTACAACACGTCGCTCCCCTACGACCGTGTGTTCTGGAAGCAGGACATTGCTGGCTCAATTGCCTTCGCCCGCGCCAACACCAACTCTGGTCTCCTCACAGCACAAGAGTTCGCCGAGATCGAACGGGGTTTCAAGCAGATCGCCCAGGAATGGCAAACAAACACTTTCGTAGCCAAGGAGAACGATGAGGACATCCACACCGCTAATGAGCGCCGTCTGGGCGAGATAATTGGCAAGGAAATCGGCGGAAAGCTGCACACCGGTCGGTCGCGTAATGAGCAGATCGCCACGGATATGCGCCTGTGGCTCCGCGATGAGCTCCGTTTGATCGAGAAACACCTCTGCGATCTGATCAAGGTCTCCATTGCTCGCGCTGAGAATGATATCGCCTATCTCATGCCCGGCTACACCCACCTGCAGAAGGCCCAGCCCGTCCGCTGGTCCCACTGGATCCTGTCGCATGCCACTGCCTTCGCTAGTGAGTTGGAGCGTCTGCGTGAAGTTATCCGTCGCGTCAACAAGAGCCCCCTCGGCACCGGTGCCCTTGCCGGTAACTGTTTCAACATTGACCGTGAGGCTATGGCCAAGGAGCTTGGCTTCGATGGCTTGCTGTACAACTCCATGAACGCTGTTGCAGACCGCGATTTCGCCATGGAGACCATGCAATGGGGCAGCTCGTTCATGCTGAAGATCTCCCGTTGGGCCGAGGATCTGATCATCTACAGCTGTCTGGAGTTCGGCTTTGTCCGTCTCTCAGATGCTTACTCGACTGGATCGTCCCTCATGCCCCAGAAGAAGAACGCAGGTAAGTTTAAATTCCATGTGTGTAATAGAAAGCAGCATACTGATACGTATTTTGCACTTTAGACAGCCTGGAGTTGCTCCGCGGTAAGGCTGGCCGTGCTTTCGGCCAGATGGCCGGCCTGATGTGCACAATCAAGGGCCTGCCCACTACCTACAACAAGGATCTGCAGGAGAGTGTTGAGCCCATGCTCGACCACATCAAGACTGTCAGCGACAGCATTCAGATTGCCACCGGTGTTCTCTCCACTCTCACCGTCAACCCTGAGAAGATGATCGCCGCCCTGGCCCCGGAAATGCTGGCTACCGAAATTGCTGACTACCTTGTCCGCAAGGGTGTGCCTTTCCGCGAGGGACACCACATTTCCGGCCGTGTCGTTGCTCTGGCTGAGAACACCAATGTCCCCATGGATACGCTCTCTCTGAAGCAGCTCCAGGAAGTCGACGCCCGCTTCGATGCTGATGTCCAGGCTTGCCTTGACTACGAGCGCGCCGTCGAGCTGAAGGATGCCATTGGCGGAACCAGCAAGCGCGCAGTCCTCGAGCAGACCGCCGTGCTGAAGAAGTTGCTGTAAAACCATTGGGATACGATATATGACAGAAAAACAAATGTTAGGCTTTCGGTTAGACAAAAATGAATATATGAATTGACTTATTTAGGTGTCTTCCAAAAATATAAACGTTAAACTATGTGTTACTAATAAAGGAGGGAATATCATACAACATACCTATCGGGCCATCGTTTAAATCTCATAAAAAGCCCCGAGCCGGGACTAGCATTACTTTCAAAATCAAAATCAAACCCAACCTCTCAAATCCCTCTCAGGCTCATGCCCATCGTTCCAGATGGAGACTTAATGTCCTGTTCAGGGGCGCCCTGTTCCGCCTCATATGCAGGCGGGACGTCAGCACTACCATCCGCAGCTGCAATATCATCTTCCAAACTGCGCTCCACGGGCCTAGGTCTCGACCTGGAAGCACTACCACGTCCCTGGGGGTTGGAAGTATGGCCACCACCTATTGAAATTCCAAGCCCGTTTCCCAAGCCCCGATCCTCCAGCCTCTCACCATACTGCATAAAACTCATAACATGATCTGTCCCACCGCGTTCAACCTTCCCTCCCCTTTCTCCCCGGGCCTGGGACTCTCCGAATTCCATGCCATTGGAGTATCGATCCAGATTCGCGCCTAGGACAACTCCTTCGGCAGTGATGACCCGCCCAGCTTGGTTTCTCGCCAAACTACCGCCATTGCTATTGCTGTGGCTGTGGCCGCTTCCGTTGTCGGTTCCTCTTCTAGGGCTTGCATGCGGAGTAGCTATAGGTGCCAAGGCAGGCGACTCCCAAGCCCGTGGACTAGACCTCGACCTGATATGATTCTGCTGTCGCTGTCGTTGCTCCATGGGTACGTTGATCAGCTCGCGCTGTGATTGAGAGGCTAGTTCAGCGCGCAGGCGATGGAAGCCCGTGTCTTGTAGCTCTGGGGTAAATCTTTGGCGTGGAGGAACTGAAGCGAAGAGCTCGTTTGAGTGCGCTTTGGTTGGTGGGACTGGGGGCGTTTTGTGGGGAGAGTGTGAGATAAGGCTTGTTGACGATGATACCAATGTTAGGTCTGGGGTGAGAATCGGGCTTGCCCGTGTGTTATCCATGGTGAATGGGGAGACAGCGCTCAATGAGTCTATTGTTAATGCAATGTCTAGTGTCAGTGAAATGTTATGTTGCCTCAGTGGGCAGTTAGTTGTTAAGTGATATTTTACTCACTATTTGCTTCGCTGTCTAATGGCGATAGTGTTCCTTTCATTTCGGATGCAGTTGCTCGATCTTTCCGCGTGAATCTGTATGAGTACCATGAGACGAGAGCCGTCCCCTTCTCGCGCTTCCCATATTTTCTTTTGCGGCGGCAGCAACATAAAAGTAGGATGGCGCATATGACCAAGACCGCAACTCCCCCGACAACACCGCCGATGATTGCGCCCAGGTTTGAGGACGCAGCATTTGGGGTGTTGGACGAGGTACTGGGCGGAGACGCGCTGGCGGCCAGAACCGAGGACGACGCAATAATACCTGTAGCTCCTATAGTCGAGTATGTGTCAGAACTTGTAGGGACTTCTGAAGTCGTGGGTGTTACTGGGGGTGTCTTCGAACCTGCTGATGTTTCCGAGCTAATAGAGGAAGCTGTGGGAGAAGGCCCAGGTACCATCATAGATGGATCCGTTGACAAGACGGTAGTTGGTTCTGACAAAGTGGACATAGAGGAAGTAGTTGTGGTTCTCGGCGTCACACTGGGCAACCGGGCAATGGGCCCAGATGTCGTCAACGAGAGTGTAGACATGCTTGAGTGGTCGCTGTCGTTGTCGTCCGGACAAATTCCCGTCGTACATGGATCACTTGAGCAGCATCCATGAAAGTTGCCTACCGTGCAGACATACCACTGCTTGGTCCCGGTGCAAGTATTAAGGTCTCTATGGACAAGAGACTCGGCGGACTCGAGGGACTCCATCTCGAACAGCATCCTCAGAGATCAAGTCTCACCGAACCCGGGGACAAACTGATCAAATTGCAAAACACCGCACTTGGCAGGATGTCACAAACTTGAACAACTGGAAGCGAGAGGTCTCGTCCTATCAACCCTCATTCAAGGCCTGAGGATTTGCCAGCAGAAATGACAACAGAGGTCAAATCGATCAGCCATGCCCCGACAGATATTCTTCCAAGAGGTATTCATTATCTCTCGAATGGATCTCGACCCTGTTCCTGAAAGAAGCAGAGAGGGGGTTTCTTTGTTGGTGGCTGGTGAGGGGTGGCGATGATATGCCATTTATACAACCTTGGAGTTGTTACCAATGGGCTTCACCTGCGCAGTGTTGGTATCTCCTTAGCTCATGTGAGGCATAGTCAGGATAACGGGCAGCTTGACACCGCTGTCACAGTGATATTCGCTGAATCTGGCGAATTAGCAATAAATCAGTTACGAATCAACTAAGGCCCGAAATGGAACTTGAAGAGGCTAGTGTTTGATTTCTTTGTTGATAGGGCAGGGGGTCAACCGGGGATTTTTATAGCCAAATCAGACAAAGAAGTGGAATTTCCATATGGCAGGAGAAAACTACAATAAGTACTTCGTACTGGGGAACAGAAAAAGATTAAGAAGTAATAAATCCAATCATATGAGACAAACTGAGGGGAAAAGCACTCAGCACACCAACTCTTCGCCTGTTAAGATAAAGGAAAAAAATATGGCTATACAGGATGGTAAGTAACACAGTCAACAAAAAAAAAAGGTCTTTTTCATAGATGGATCCCTGAAACGGGGCCTTGCAACGCCACAAGTCCTAGTTCCACCTCAAAACCACGAGGTTAGGAGAGGGCGTCGATAGGGTCCATCGGAAACAACTCCGTGGTATCCTCGGTATTCTCTGCGGGTCGACCCCAGAATAGTGAGCTTAGTAGGTACGCTTGAAAGGAGGGACGGCCTTGCACTCCGCCTCATCCAAGGTGTTAGCCTCAACGGCACGGTAGCCAAGCTTGACCTCGCCGTGGGGGTTCTTCTGCCAGGAGAGGGTGTGCTTCATCCACTTCTCGTCGTCACGGTCAGGGTAGTCCTCGCGAGCGTGAGCACCACGAGACTCCTTACGAGCGGCAGCAGAAGCAGCGGTTTGAGTACTATAAGATATAATAGGTTAGCAAGCGATCCTAAATCAGTGAATAGGGGTTACGTACGCGCAAGTCAGGAGGTTGCGGAGCTCAAGGGTCTCCACCAGGTCGGAGTTCCAGATCATGCTGCGGTCCTTAGTGCCGACCTGGGCGTACATCTGGTCAACCTTGTTGACCTTCTCGACACCCTCGTCCAAGCTCTCTTGAGTACGGAAGACGCTGACATCGGTCTGCATGGTCTTCTGCATAGCATTGCGGACTTCGAAGGTCGACTTAGGGCCATCGGCGGTACGAGCAAAGTCGAGGTCCTTGATGGACTGAGCACCAGCATCGGAAGCAAGCTCCTTGTGGGGCTTGCCAGGGGTGGCAGTGTCACGGACACGGTGAGAGACAGCACGGCCGAAGACAATCAAATCAAGCAGGGAGTTGGCACCCAGGCGGTTAGCACCGTGGACAGACACACATGCGGCCTCACCGCAGGCATACAGACCGGGAACAACCTTCTCCTGGCCGTTCTCATCGACATCCAGGACCTCACCAGTGTACTTGGTGGGGATACCACCCATGTTGTAGTGGACGGTGGGCAGGACAGGGATGGGCTGCTTGGTGACATCAACACCGGCGAAAATCGAGGCAGTCTCGGAGATACCGGGGAGACGCTCGTGCAGGAGCTCGGCGGGCAAGTGGCTGAGCTGAAGGTAGATGTGGTCCTTCTCGGGACCGACACCTCGGCCCTCACGAATCTCCAGAGTCATGGAGCGGGAGACAACGTCACGGGAGGCAAGATCCTTGGCGGTGGGAGCGTAACGCTCCATGAAACGCTCGCCCTCGGAGTTGAGCAGGTAACCACCCTCACCACGGGAACCTTCGGTGATCAGGCAACCAGCACCGTAGATACCAGTAGGGTGGAACTGGACGAATTCCAGATCCTGGTTGGGCAGACCAGCACGAGCGACCATAGCCATACCGTCACCAGTGCAAGTGTGGGCAGAGGTACAGGAGAAGTAGGCACGTCCGTAACCACCGGTGGCAAGAACAGTATGGTGGGCCTTGAAACGGTGCAGAGTACCATCCTCCTGGTTGTAGGCAATGATACCACGGCACTCACCACCCTCCATCAGCAGGTCGAGAGCGAAGTATTCGATGAAGTAGTTGGTGTTGTGGCGGAGAGACTGTCCGTAGAGGGTGTGCAGAAGGGCGTGACCAGTACGGTCAGCGGCGGCGGCGCAACGGTAAGCCTGACCACCCTTGCCGAAATCCTTGGACTGACCACCGAAAGCACGCTGGTAGATACGTCCATCCTCGGTACGCGAGAAGGGGCAACCGTAGCCTTCGAGCTCGCGAACACTGGCCGGAGCCTCACGGGTCATGTAGTGAATGGCATCTTGGTCACCAAGCCAATCAGAACCCTTCACGGTATCGTACATGTGCCATCTCCAGTCATCCTCGTGCATGCTAAAATCCAGTTAGAGGCCATTCGCTACCTTCCAGTGCTGATGGGAAAAACCTACTTTCCAAGGGCAGCGTTGATACCACCCTGGGCGGCGACAGTGTGACTTCTCGTGGGGAAAAGCTTGGAAACACAAGCAGTCTTGAATCCAGCCTCGGCCAGACCGAAAGCAGCGCGCAGACCGGCACCACCGGCACCAACGACGACGGCATCGTACTCGTGATCCTGCGCAAGTTAGACCCGATGAGCCTCCTTTCCATACGGACAGCGGTATTGTCTTACAATGATAGGGTACTTGTCGGTCAGGTAGCCCTGGGACTCCTTAGCGCGCAAAGGCTGGTTGGACCAAATCCGGGCTGGCGCAGTAGTAATTAGCGGTGCGTCCGTGAGTTAACAATTGGAGTACTCTAATGCGTACCTGCGGGCCTTGAAGAGGAGAAAAGACGTCTCTGGTCCCTCAAAATGCGGGAAACCTGGAGAAACAGACGTATGAGTATGTCACGGGTGTTGCGGACGGGCCGAAAATCGTTGCATGGCTACTCACCTTGGATGCAGGAGCTAGGCTCCGCAGGCTCATGGAGCTCATGTTGGCGGATCAAAAGAGAATTGAGTTTCCCTAATGAACCAAAAGAACAGCAGGACACCAAGGGTCGGTGACGGGCTTAGCAAAGAGGGGAGATTGTGGAATGGCGAACTCCTTCCAGGGCAATACTTTCATCTGGAATCGGGTTGCGGTTGGCAGTTTCACGCTGACATAATCATTTTCACAGTTGCCGACGGGGAGGACCGGGGCCGAATCAGCCAATCAGAGGCTGCGCAATGAAAATCAACCTCGGGCAGCCGGCCGCCAGTGATTGGCTAGATGGCACGTGTACACATTCATTTTGCCGGCCAGCACAGGCTGCCGGAAGGATACGGTAGAACGCCAGCGAGATTGAAGAGAGCCGCTAGGATCAATTACGGGGTCTTGAAGCTATATATGGCTATAATTTTTGATTCTAGTCCCACTTTTCTTAGTGAAATGACATACAATTGCTAGATGTCGTACTTTTCAATCGTATTGTATTTCTAGATCGAGATGGTCACGTGTAGTCACATGACCGTGTTCTCACCAATCAGGAAAGTGTCCGGAGTAGCCCTGAAGGGACTAGACTACATCATCGTCCTGGTACTACATTGGAAGTCAGAAGGAATTTGGTTGAAATTATATTGCATTGACCAGGAAAAAAACTCCCACGTAACAAGACAATAGTCATCGTACATCCCATCCGTAATGCAAGTAAGTCGGAATCTCTAGTTGTACTGCATGTATGTCGCCGTCGAGTTGAACTTGAGGTTGCCCTTAATCACCTTCTCAACAGAGGCCAAGAAGTCCTTCTCGGTAGCCACCTTGCGGCGAGCCCGAATGGCAAACATACCCGCCTCAGTCGCAACACTGCGAAGTTCGGCACCTGTAGCATTGGGGCACAATCGCGAGATCAACTCCCAACGGATGTCTCGCTCGACGGACATACTCTTGGCATGGATTCGGAGAATATTGGCACGGCCCTCGACATCTGGCAGCGAGAATTCGATCTTACGATCGATACGGCCGGGACGCATCAGGGCTGGGTCAAGTGTGGACGGGCGGTTGGTAGCGAACATGACCTTGATGTTACCACGAGAGTCGAACCCATCCAGCTGTGTGATCAGTTCCAGCATGGTTCGCTGCACCTCGTTGTCGCCACCGGCGCCATCGTCGAAACGCGCACCACCAACGGCATCGATTTCGTCGAAGAAGATGATGCATGCCTTCTTGGTACGGGCCATCTCGAAAAGTTCACGAACCATTCGAGCACCCTCGCCAACGTACTTCTGCACCAGTTCGCTACCGATCACACGAATGAAGGTAGCATCCGTTCGGTTGGCGACTGCACGAGCGCAGAGGGTCTTTCCGGTTCCCGGGGGTCCATAGAGCAGAGCACCCTTGGGTGGGTCGATACCGAGGTTCACGAAACGTTCTGGCGATAGCAAGGGCATTTCAACGACTTCTCGTAGCTTCTCGATCTGTTCTTTGCACCCGCCAACATCACCGTAGGTCACGTCGGGCTTATCCTCAACAGTCATCATTGTCACGCTGGGGTCGATCTTTGGCGGCAAGGGCAGCATGATCTGGTACTTATTACGGTCGACGCTGCAAAGCCTAGTTAGTACCTAGAGATGACATATAATCCACCAGATAACTTACCCAACTCTCATGCCTTCCTCGATGTCTGTCGGACTAACGCGCTCTCCTAGGTTGACAACGAACTTGGCAATTTGTTTGACGTTAATCACATATTTGCTCTTGTCCGAGTCCTTCTCATCCTGGATAATCTTTGTGCACCTCGCGACCTGTAGCGGCTGTTCCTCCGCCA